ATGTATGTATGTATGTATGTATGTATGTATGTATGTATGTATGTATGTATGTATGTATGTATGTATGTAGTCGTGTAAGTAGTGCACGCACATAATCACGTTTTATGATATGCATAACACAAAAAACTCATGACACTTGATAGCAGCACAATTATGGTATTTCATCAATATATATATACAGTGTTTCCCCTGCATTGACACGAGCGAGGCGGGCTGCCTCTTTCAAATTCTCAGCCGCCACACAGAACTTTGTCCATAACACCGCCTCGCTGACAAAAATCAATGTTCTTCCATAGAACAGTGCTTATAATGCTCTAAAATAGCTTAGAATGCACCAAATTGCACCATTTTTTCAAAAACATTCTGGAGGGCATGCCCCCGGACCCCCCTAGCTACCTGCAGTGCTCGCTTTGCTAGGACCTCAAAACGCGCAAACACACCCAAAAAAATTACCACCTCACAGACCTTTTAGGCCAGGGGAAACACTGTTGGGTATAATTAGCAAAATATCTTCCTAGGGAAATTTGTGGTTTTTTGTGATGTGGATATTTTAACAGATGGTTGATGTCATGTTGTCATTCTAGTGTGCTTACAACCATGCAAGTGAGTAATGATTGCCAACCTTACACTGACCTGGGTCCCCGCTATACTGCCATCCCTCACATTAATTGGTTACACACTGACAAAGCATTACAAACTGGTGTGGGCACAAGCCACAATAACAACTAGACAGAGGGCACTCACAGAGAGTGCATACCTCCGCCAGCGACATACGCCATACGCCCCATGTAACATGTATGTGTTACGAGCTGGCTCGCCGCTTGCTGCTGGCCTGCTGCTGACTGACTGGCCTGCTGCTGGCTGGCTGGCTCGCTGACTCGACGCGCTAATATCGATCGCGCGAACACACGAGACCGATCACATAACCTCCTCCAACTCTGTTGAGAGGAGGTAAATAGCTTCTGCTAATCTGTCCCATGCTGTCACCTCAGCAGTGCAGCAGACAGATTATAAAACATTCCCGTATCTCACCAGCTTCTCAATCATCTTAGAACTCCAGTACAGGATCATGTCATCTAGGTGTATAACTATTTGAAAGCATATTGGCTCTCCGTGACAAAATCATTGCATAGAAATGCACTGGATGTAAGTCAATGGTGATAGTAAAGTGTTCGCTAGCATAAGTGACTGCCTACTCACCTGTCCATATCCCTTAAGTGGCAGTGCACCTGTGGTGTCCAGAACTTGCCACTTCACCTTCTTCAGATCACAGACGTGAACCAGATTGCTGCTAACTTTGCCAAACGGAATGCCAGTCCCACCAAACACTATTAATCTGTTTGCAACCAGAAGCGCTGAAGAACAAACAACAGAAGTTCACGAAGAATAATTAAGGTTACTCTCAAGGTTTTACGCAAAATTTTACCGATTTTTCATTTTCAACTTTATTCAATGGCTAACACTATGTGCCACCTCTGTACATGCTCATTTCTCCATATAACGGTACATGTGAACTGTCAGAGTGTTCTGATTGCCCGCGTACACATGTAGTGAGCCGCGGCTGACGTCATGATGACGTCAGAGACATGATACAACCAGCATTTTCACGATATTCACTAATATAATCATTATCATTTAAGCCAGTATCATTCAGCATCAACCCTTCTACAGCTGTCATCTGCCAGTGATAGGTGAACTATCCCCCGCTGCCCAAAATAGTTCTTTCACCTCGCTACACACCTTACATTAGGCACACATTTGTTGACATATAGCTTAGTGACGTCAGGCAATGGGCTGTGTTTGCGCGTTTTGCATTAAATTGCGATGGTAACCTCGTAATTTCTCACTATTTCTCAAGGTGCATGGAACATTTTACCAATTTAGTGGTGTCAGTTAGTCATGGATATGTCGCAGTAAGTACTAACAGTAGATATTTCACATACGTTTACCCATTTTGCACACAGGCGGTCGATCATTGTGAAAAATAGAAAAACGCTGATTTCTCCGTTTCGCTTTCTGACATAGTAGCCGATGTGTAAATGGATATTTCTCTGTGATTACAACTCCGAATAATTTAATTGTACACTCGTTTTAATGGTAACATATTGCTGCAAAAAAGAGCATCAGGGATTGTTATTAATTGCCGTAATTTATGAGTTATGCCTCTTTATTCGCAAAAATTTTCAATTCTAACACACAACTTGATTTTAAAGCAGTTTTTGTCATTTTTCACAATAAATATGACACCTAAAGAAAAATCCTGATGCGCTATTTTGGTACATATTGTGCTTAACCTGTGATGAAAATTTTGCTTCCTCACACTGTGGTAATTGAGAAATATCCAAAATACCATTTTTACATAAAAATTCCAAATTTGTCTGGTATCATAATTAGGTGCTGGAAATTTCATGAAATTTTTTGGCTTGAGCATAGAGATATATCTCCTCTATAAATAAAACGTGTGATTGATTCGGTGCAATCATCAATAAACGTTTAATCTTCATTAGAGCAATACCCGTGCAAAACGTGGAGAGTATCCTTTATAAAGCATTTATTTCTAACATAATTTCCAACCAGTCTGAGGTTTTCCCCACATTTACGACACTTACAGTTATTGCTTGAGTAACAGCAACTGTCTAGAGTAACGATAAAATGTCTTAGAACCTTCGTACTTAGTGATATTCTCCAAAACATGCACGATTAAAATTTTGATTACTCCTTTAGATTATCGCCGCCATTTCTTGTGAATCTCGGACTATCTCGCGATATATGCGAGATATCGGCCAATTTAAAAATAGAAAAAGAGTAGTTAAACTACACAGAATCAGATGCCCTGTTGTTTGAATTAGGTGCACTATGGGTGCATTTGTAACTTGTTGGTGCACTAAGGTGCCATTTGCAAATTAATTATCGCTATAATCAAATATGCTATGGTAATACGATGTATTCAAATCCAATTTTCTATGCCATAACTACATAAATTCTTAGTGTTTTTAAAGTTGGTGTAATCATTCATATATATCCGCTGTGAGGTGAGACTACATTTCGCTATATTTTTTCAGATTTTGAAATAAATTCTTTAACACCGTCTTCATTTTTACACCATTTCCTCTAACATTACCCAGCAATAATGTAGTTCATCTGCACGTTATAGGTGGTACAAGCACACTGGCAGTACATGACTCATGCACTACAAATTGAAAGTCAGTTCACTTTACTGTGGTGTGCTGTAATGAAACCCTTACTAAATGTACTTATCTGTCACTTATATGTGATGTGTATGTCGCCATGTCAAATGTATGTCAATTATAAGTGACCTATATGTCACTTATACTTTCGAAAGAAACTTATATGTCACTTATATTTAAAATTGCAAGTGGTTTATAAGCCTCGTAAGGATAGGGAGCGACTGATAAATGACTTATAGCTAGGCCACTTACATGTCAGCCTACTTATAGCTAGGCCACTTTACATCGTCAGCCATAATCTTATAGCATAGGCCACTTACATGTCACCACTAGCTTATCAGCCTAGGCCACTTACTGTCAGCGCATCTTATAGCTAGTCCACTTACATGCTCAGCCATCATTCATAGCTATGCCACTTACTTACATGTTCAGCCATACTTTATGCTTAGGCCCACTTACATTGTCAGCATACTTTGCTATGCCCACTTACTTACATAGTCAGCCATACTTATAGCTAGCACTTACATGTCAGCCATCACTTATAGCTAGGCCACTTACTGTCAGAATATCCATAATTATTATTCGATTGATAATTTCATCGGATCTCTATAGTTCACGATGAAAATAAAGTTATCTCAGTTAGATCCAAAATAAGTTCATGTAATACTTACACTGTGGCGAAAGATTTCATCAGCATTTAAAAACCCCATAGATTTATCAGCATTTAACCCCATAAGATTTATCAGCATTTTAAACCCCATTAAGAATTTATCAGCATTTTAAACCCACATAAGATTTATCAGCATTTAAACCCCATAAGATTTTATCAGCATTTAAACCCCATTAAGATTTATTCAGCATCTAATACCCATAAGACTTTATCAGCATTTAAACCCCATAAGATTTATCAGCATTTAAACCCCATAAGATTTATCAGCATTTAAACCCCATAAGATTTATCAGCATTTAAACCCCATAAGATTTATCAGCATTTAAACCCCATAAGACCATCAGGAATATTCTACTATTTCCAGTACATCAAAAATACAACAGGCTGTGTGTACCGCATCGCTTGCTCGAATTGTGATAGCGTGTACATAGGGGAAACAGGCAGGGAATTGTGATAGCGTGTACATAGGGGAAACGGGCAGGGAATTTGGAACACAATTAAAATAACACATGACTGATGTCAATACCCATACAAAAGGAACCAGCACACGAGCGGCTCGTGCGTCCACATCAGGACAACAGCATAAGTCTGCCATAACTGACCACATGGTCGACCAAAACCATCTGCCGAACTGGAAAGAGGCCACTGTAGTGTCGAAAGAATCTATTCTGATGTGCAGACAGAGAAGAGAAGCGATACGTATTCGAAGAGAACTGGCTACAATGAATAGAGATGAGGGCTCGTACCACCTATCCCATATATATGACAATATCCTCAGAACTGCACCTGCTCGAGAGAACCGCAGACTGGCGGCCGCCCGAAAGTGACCAGGTTCCAACTTCGTTTCCAGTGCTGCCATCTACCTGGAAACATCAGACCTGAGGAAGTCTATCGGAGAGATGGACGAACATTTCGTCGTTGTAAGCATTCATAACTGATTTTGAATCTAACTGAGATAAATTTTTATTTTCATACTTATATTATATATGTGTCACATGCAGTCTCTGATGAATGTGCATATATGTATATAAATACAGCTTTATGGCCTTTTGTTTTAAAAAAACAAAACAAGTAAAAATTCTAATATCCTCTTCTCCAGACAGTGACCAAGGAAATATATTAACTTATATTAAAGTAATTGTTTAATGAAATCGATAGACAAACATGAATGCACATCACATAACTTAAGTACAAATGATAGATATATTTCTTCAATATAGCTATGCCTTGCTTTTGATTACATATATATTTGACATTTATATTATAAATGCGTATTCTACATACCACAATGTGAAGCCACTTCCCAAGGCATGTCAACTCCAGTACTGAGCTTTTCCCATGACTTTCGTACAATGTTAAACCGCCATAACTGTTTGTAAAAAGCAGTAAACATGGACTTAAACACACGTTTACAAGTAATTATGGGAATATATTCATTTTATTTACTATTACAAATGAATAAACAGAAACTATTTGGCACCCACATGCGGTGAAACATTGCATTTACGCTCAATTCAACAGAATGGAAGTTGGCAGTGCCAACACCTATATATACATTAACCTCTCTCAAGAGCGGATAGTAGGACTCCTCATTGTTGCGCCGACCCGCAAATGCTGAGTTAAAACCTCCGAAGGCGTACAGGTAGATGTCATTCGCTACACATCGATGACCGCTTCTTGGCTCAGGAAACGTCTTGCCTAGATGGACAGACATTGATTTCAGTGATGTAGCAAATCGCAGTTATAATTGTGCGCCAATTTATCTCTAATATTTATACAATTCGAATTATACCAGGTAACCTGTAGATTATGTAATTACTGGTAATATATTGTCTCGGCGACTGTCACTCACCATCCTAATTCTATTCGTCCATATTTGTAAGACGTAATGGTACAGAAAGAGTGTTCTGATTGGTGGTAACGTGTGTGTGACGGCCAACTGTAACTCTAGAACTACAGCCCTTCGCTCTGCCACAGGGCTATAGCACAAACTATGTTGAATATGGGCAACGAAACTGCTCCCTCTGCTCCCACGAGGAACGGCTCACAGAACGCAAAATGATCAGGCTTTTAAACACTTATGGACCCCTTACCTAACTATTTGAAGTTTCACAACTTTATACCACGCATTTATTCATTTATTCCTTAAATTCTTACCACTGCTTGCAAATTCTGTTCAAATGCTCGCGTACGTGGGTAACGTCATCCGAAATGTAGGCAAAAACACGGGGCAGCCCATTACTCATGCATGGGGGTGAATTGGGACTTTTCTAAACATAAACATGTTGCCTGTCAACCTTGTATCAGCGCCCGTGCTATAACCCACACCCTAACGAGTGTTGTCAATCGGTTGTAATTTCGTAATCGATCATCGGTTGGACCCAAGTAACCGATGATCGGTTACTCAGGGTGTTGAATGCCTGCGTGTGCGTAACGTCGTGTGCATGTACGTGTGTGCATGTATGTGCCTGTTTAGCCCTGTTTACTGTTTGTTTTGCACTGTTTACTACTGTGTGTATAATGCATGTATGTTAATAAAGGATAACTTGTATAGTAGCGATGATATATCTGATTCTCATCACTTTTCCAAGTTTTCTTGTTCAAGTTTTACATTTATTTCGATTTTTTTTTTCCCGATGAAATCGATTATGGATTTTGATAACCAAGCGCTTGGTTTGAGCCACTGTTCAACCGATGATCGAGTATAATCGATGATCGTGACATCACTACCCCTAACCCACATGGGCTGCCCTCGTTTTTTCTGTGATCCGTTCCTCGTGGGAGCAGTGGGAGCAGTTTCGTTGCCCATATTCAACATACTTTGTGCTATGGCCCTGTGGCAGGACCAAGGGCTATAGTTCTAGAGCTTATTCCAACTACTGATCAACTGATAGTAATAGTATCTTATTGCAATGTTGTTTTTTGACATGCGATGGTGTACGATTTAGTTAGTGCTTTAAATTTATCTCGTACTTGAGATAGTTGGGTGAATAAGTGTATTTATTTTAGAATACACCTGTACATAGGATCAATTTCGTGGATGAAGGAATTCAAGTTAGTACTAGTACGCCACCAATAGGCAATGACAATGCCACCACACCAGTGACCAGGCATAATTTGTTATTAATATTAGACAATACCTGGAGGTACGGCAGCCGTATCTCCAATTTACGAGGCTGGAGCTACGGCAGTCCATTCACTTTCATACAAACGAAATAAAGATGGCGGCAGATTTCGAAATAATGCCTTGGGAAATAAATTCACGATTTGAGAGTTTTGATGAGCTAGAAAACTCTCGGATTAGCCTAGGTATAAAAATGAACATTATTGTAAACTCTACATAAGACGATCGCAAATAATTGCCTTAACCCTCAAACAAATGCCAAAAAGGGGCTTCAACGAACGACAGCTGACGTACCTCGAGCCACTTCCTTATTATTCACTCCAGAGTCCGGGAGCCGTTGTCAGAAACATGGTAAAGTTAATGCTAATGTTAATGCTAAGATAACACTTACGACTTACGTCCAAACTTTCTACATCTCTACTCCCAAACTACATCAGTGGTGGAATTAGGGGGGGGGGGATTGGGTGGCTAGCTACATATAACCCCCTCTGTTGGACTAACAATAATTTTACATAGTCGCGCGGCTGTACAAAACGTCACCTGATGCATGGATTCAATTATATAATTGAGTGGCAAAGCAGGTTACAACCCTTTTGCAGCTTTTTCACAATTCCAACAAAGAGTTTTGCTGTCGCCTTCATCCCAGCGGTGGTCACCCCTACACATTGAATAATGAACGCGACTTAAACAATGCCGTGATGTGCAATGAGTGATGTGTGTGTTTGAGCACACACACGCGCCCACACGCACACGCATATGCATACGCTCACTCGCACGCACGCACGCACACAGAGATGGAGAGAGAGAAAGAAAGAGTTTAAGAATCTGCGTTAGTTTATCATGTCTTGATAATAAAACGAAAATTACATTAGTTATAGTGATCTTTTGTGATCACATTTTGTTGCTCATGAAGAGAATAGTTCTACTAAAAAGATAATTGTCATAGTCAGAATGAAGGCTGTACATTTACTCAAAAGTGCCTCAAATACTATCTCCTGTGATCTACATTTTCACAATTTTCTGGGGGGCGGAATTCAAAAATTTCCCAGACCCCCCGCCTGTGTCAGTGCACATCCATTTCACCGTATAGCTACGCCCCTGTCAGTGTCAAAGTATTTAAAACGAGAGAACAAATGCCATACATCATTTGTAAATGTTTTGTTTTGTTTTACGATCAGTAGATAATTAATGTTTTTGACGTGTTTTTCAAGAAAAACATATATTACTCATTAATATAAAATATAATATCACTATACAGGGGTAAAAATTAACTTTTGAACACAGGAGTCCAAATGACTCCCTACCCTCAAAAAGAGGGAGTCCGCAGCAAAATGAAGGAGTCCGCAGCCTGAGGTTCAAAATTAAAGATATTAACAATAATGCATGTGCTTATTTTTAAGATTCATGCAGTAGCACATCTGCCAAAATTTTCTTTGGACATTAGCTGAAAAAATACTGTAATTCCGCGAGGCCGTGCTCTGGAACGAACTAGTTAGTATAGCAGAATTTTCAGGGAGTCACACGAACTCCTGCATAGGCCCCTATGTCAAATCAGGGAGTCCAACAATAAATCAGGGAGTATTTAACTCCGGACTCCCGTTAATTTCGCACCCTGCTATAATTGTAATTCTTAACTCTTATAGATTAGAGATTTGTAACTCTTAGTCTAAATGTGTTATTTTCATCTTAATATTAATTATAGTTACGAGAGGGTCTGGGCTCTCGTAATGTTAAGAGGATATTTTCGAAGATTTTTCATTCTCGTAACTTTGCGATGTTTCTGTCAACGGTTTACGAATGGAATCTTAATGTTATTGACTGTTACTGTTAGGGCCTAGTGACACACAGGCACTTGGAGCGTTTCAATAAAATATAAAGCTAAATAAATACGAAATCTTTTTACTACCAAAGCCTTAATGTTTCTATACACTCTCTTTCACGTATTATTGCCGACAATTTCCTGTAAATGCCGTCCAAATGCTCATCTACAACAAACACTGGGTGCCGCCATTGCTGCCGCTGCACACTGACACATAAATATATAGCAGGTAAGAAAGCGTGCGCCAGGAATTCGCTCGACGCTCGCTGCATTTCACATGATTACAACACAAATACTCAACCTTCCGACTCCATCTTTGCTGCTAATTGAAGAACAGTGTTTACTTGTTGTAGAAATATTATGTCTCAGTTCAAAACAGAGCTGTGTCACGCAAAATCACGAATGAAATCATGAAATTCTCGCGATCGCTAGCACTGCGCACGTGATGTTAATGAACTTAAGTACATGGCTAAAGGCGGCGCACTGCATTTTGGGAAACAACAACGCTGCTTTCCGCCTCCCATGTGAGCCCCGTCAAAGCCGCCAGTAGGGCGTAGCTATAGATACCATAGACGGCTCCAACTTTGACGTCGCGAATACGGCCGGTAGGGGTCTCCAGATTCCGAAATTCATTAACATCACGTGCGCAGTGCTAGCAATCGCGAGAATTTCATGATTTCATTCGTGATTTTGCGTGACACAGATCTGTTTCGAACTGAGACATAATATTTCTACAACAAGTAAACACTGTTCGTCAATTAGCAGCAAAGATGAAGTCGAAAGGTTGAGTATTTGTGTTGTAATCCTGTGAAATGCAGCGAGCGTCGAGCGAATTCCTGGCGCACGCTTTCTTACCTGCTATATATTTATGTGTCAGTGTGCAGCGGCAGCAATGGCAGCAGCCAGTGTTTGCTGGGGGGCAGCCCTATAGACCGAAGGTCTGATAGACCGAAGGTCCAATAGATCGAATATTGCAAAGGGTTAGAGTTAGAGTTAGGGTTAGAGTTAGAGTTAGGGTTAGGATTAGGGTTAGGGTTAGGGTTAGAGTTAGGGTTAGGGCATATAAATGGTTTATAGTGGCATCATATGATTTATAGTGGCATCGGTAGATGTGCAGGGGTCACGTTCGAATACGGCATCAGTGGATGTCCGGATGCGTAGCCTGGAGGCTAGGCGACCGATTCCGGACGTGTAACCACTGCGTATTCGAATAAACCTTCGGTCTATCGGGCCTTCGGTCTATCGGACCTTCGGTCTATATAGGACTGTAACCGTTTGTTGTAGATGAGCATTTGGACGGCATTTACAGGAAATTGTCGGCAATAATAGGTGAAAGAGAGTATAGAAACATTAACACTTTGGTAGTAAATAGATCTCGTATTTATTTAGCATTATATTTTATTGAAACGCTCCAAGTGCCTGTGTAGTGACAGTACTACAGTAGTGTCACTGTTAGTGTTAAGAAATAAGATTCAGAATTAGAATAAGACTAAGACTAAGAGTAAGAGTAAGAGTATTATTACTATTAAGACTAATTTTGTTTCTGGCAACGGGTCCCAGATAGTATAGCACTGGTTAGATGGGTCATGTCCCCGGTAACACGCTACAATTTTATTGGTGTACGACCTTTAAATTTATTAGTAAGAAATTACCTTTGACTTCACCTTTGCGATCATTTCGGGAAACTTGAAAGAATTTCCCTACAATAAAATCACACGCAGAATCAGCCATACTGTTACTCGCTCGTGCGTTGCACACTGGGATAGGTAGTGATCGCCAACATCCAATGACACTTGAAAATATTTTGTTAAAATATGACTCTATGGCGCCATCTCGCGTGAAAAATAATTATAAAGTGCGCATAGCTATAAGAGAGCAGACCACTATTATTATTAAATCCTCCATAGGATCCTATACTTAAGAATTGAATTTCAGGAGCTGAAAAATAGTATTTCGACCGTTTTCGGCCGAGTGGCACTATTAAAGCTAGGTAGCCATGTAATTCAGCTGTGCACCATGAGAGTTTTGTCATGTTTCCAAATTTACCAAATTTACCAAATATTGCAAATTTAATAACCGACACCACATTTGTGTCTGAAAAACAGTCGCGCAGTCGAATAGGGCCCATACATTGAAAGAATTCGTTTTAAATTACCAGTAGCCATCCATGCACCCATCTCCATGTGCATGTTATTGCCACACACGATAACCAGCCTAAATAATGCAACCACAAAATATCGCACAAAATAGTGGTCACGTGTCATAACGCCAGCGTACGTAGCAACCTGTATTGAAAGGTGGAAAAGCACGCACGTGTACGCGCACGCACGCACGCACGTGTACGTGCACACGCCCGCACGCCCGCACGTTTTCAGTTACGATGTGACCATTCGTGTTATTGGTCGAGGAAATATTCGTTCACCCAATACAGTCGATTTATTTTATCCCATTACATAGCAGAACAAGTAACCTCATTATTAGTCATCACGGGCACAAACTCATCGAAAGATATCTCTGTTTCTTCTTTCTATTTCTCTCTCGTTTCCTTTTTACCCCCTTTCTATCACTCCATATCATCAGGAGTCTATCAATAATTATATTGATAGACTCCTGATATCATGTGAGTTTGTGCACGGTGGCGTGGGTTCAGTGAGATTCTGTGTTGTAAGACTTGTAGGAGAGCATTTGAACAGTGTTAACTTAATTGATACTATATAATTATTAGAGGTGATAGAGAATAGATAAACATTATTAAAATACGCTGTTAGGAAATTGAATTTGTGTTTATTTTCCATCATTTTATTATTAAAACAAAGTCTCTGTGCATGTACGTTACACACAAGAGGAAATAGAAACAATGCCACCACAAACAGTTTGTTAACCCCAAAATTGTTAGCCACCACAAACAGTTTGTGGACGCAATTTTTTTTTAGCCAACACAAACAGTTTGCAGACCAAAAAATTCTTAGCCACCACAAACAGTTCGTGGATCAAAAAATTTGTTAGTCACCACAAACTGTTTGTGGACCCAAAAAACTTTTAGCCGCCTCAAACAGTTTGTGTGTCATAAAAATTCCTAGGTTCCACAAAACCGATTGTGGGCCTAACAGAATTACTTAGTAAAGCGATTCGATGTATATACTAAATTACCCAGTATTGCTTGTGTGTATGCTCGACTAGAAATATTGAGTTTTTGATTTGCAGTAATATATGATGCACTGGTATCAGGAGTTGATACACTCCTGCTGGTATGTGTAGTGCCATAGCTAACGCTTTTTGTCAGGAGGGGGGGGGGTGCAAGCCACGTGAGGTAACCATTTGTATTTCGGGCAGTTATCCGTGATCAGTTCGCCATTAGCCATCTAATAATTTCTAGATTAATTGGTCTTGGGGACAACTGCATGCCCAACCCCGTTAACTGCATGCCCAACCCCGTTAACTGCGATCTTAATGTCAACCTTTTTCTTTGGAGAAATAAAACGAAAAAACAGTGTGTGTTCCAGTACGTCATTTGAGAATCCCACTTTCTCAATCATGCATAGCTTATACGTGCAATAGACTAACAATAATACAGTTCAAACAATACTGTTAGTCTCTGTCAATACCCTGCATGTCATGTTGGGTACGATATTTTCTTTAGCTGGGAAATTAATATATATTGTTGACTTGGATCGTGACTTTAATACATTATTTATGCGTGCGTGCGTACGTACGTGCGTGCGTGAGTTAATGACAGTGATCGACCATTTATTTTGTTTTAGATATAACTAAAAAATATATAATACCGAAAACATTTATAAATCTTAATTTTTTTGTTTGGATTTGGCTGCGCCACACTGAGTAGAAAATATTCTAAAACAAAGTCTACGTGACCCATATTATACTGTACAGTGTAAAGTACAGTACATGTATTCAGTATATATAATTTCTATTGTTTTGCTAGCTGATTGCATGATCCTGCTAAGATTTTTTTAGATTGTATATGTGTGGTGGGATCAAAACATTGTCTGTGTATATAGTGTATATTCACATGATGTGCGCTCTCAACCAAAATTGTACGTTAATTAAATCGTGAATGTGGACGATATAGCCATAGGGATTGGATTTGGAAATTGAATTATTAGCGTCGAAGAAACCTTAAAAATTTGTTGCAATATTGACGCGTCGACGTTGAAGCAACATTGACATTTTAAAGTTGAAACAACGTTGACATCCAATCTAATCCATTTCATAAAAGTATATACGCGCCATTTCAACGTCGATTTCCGACATTGCATATGGTCAACGCTGTTAATTTCAACTACATTTTGCCCGCTGGGTATATAATTGATAGCAAGCATCGCCACATGTCTCAAAACATCATTTTAGATACTCTTATTGTGGCCCTTCAGTCATTCTGGACAATTATATACGACCGATTGCAGGCGAAATTCGGTGAAGGACACTCCGACTCGATCCGTCCACCTTCGACGTTTGCTGTTTACATGAAACAGCTGATTCAGCATTGTTGACAATCGACTGTCAATCACTTTGCGACCTTTGACCGCAGAATCAAAACATTGGCAATTTCTTCGCCAATCATAATTTTTAACGCATATACGAGTTTTATTGGTTAAATTTATTATTAATGAATGTTTATTTTATAACACAATCGTACAATAATTCTTAAATAGCAAGAATAAGAATAAAAAGTTGTTTGGAAAGGCGTGGATTATGTTAGCACGTGATCGCTGTGACGTCATTACCTGAAGACAGATTGTATTTCGCCATCGAAGTTGTTCATATTCGTACTCCCTGTACGCTTCATTCTTTTCTCAACAGGCTATCACACAGGAAGATCTTCGACTTCGATAACTGTCATTATGTCGTCGCCGAGTCCTGGGAAGCGGAGAATGGACACTGATGTAGTTAAACTGTATCCTTTGCCGTGGAAATATTGCAAGTGTGCGACACCTATACACAAGCCAGGGGATATGGACGCCATCGATGGTGAACCGTAGGGTGTATAGAATTGATTGATGCATGCTGTACCCTCATCTCAGTATCGTTGTGAGAATGTTACACTTACAGGCAAATATACGTATTTTAAAGACATTATGCGTAAGCAAATTTGAAGTTATAATTTTGTTTAGAACGTCTGTGCGGATATCGGTACCAAGGTTTTAAAAGTCTTATTTTAATACAGTCATCGTTTGTCGTAATATTTTTCATGTATGTTCAAGTGTGCAAACTAACTACTCGAGGGTTCAAGGATAGAGATGATGTCCAGTACTCGAGTGTGGCTCTGCTATTCAGTTTGTGTCCTAGACAACGTTTAGTACAGTAGCCGATTTTAAAGTTGGCCTTCAAGCTAGTTAAACTGTAGGCCTACTAGTACAATGTGTGATGTTTGCCAAAGGACGTGGTCTCACAATGTTGACCAAAACATGAGATGCATAAGATGTACAATAATCTGTCTAGCTGTAGATGCATCATATTCGCTGTGAAAGTAAGAGAAATAGATCACCTCAAGTTGGTTTGCGTAGAAATTTAGATAGATTCATGTTTTGATCCCTCACCGTTTAGTTTAATTAGGCTGTTTTAAAGAAAACAACGGAAATGTAAAGTTCTGTGTACACATTTCACATTAAAATTCCATAATTTATTACACTTGGTTTGAAACTCCATGAAGACCATTACCTGTAACTCATGTCCACGTAAGTTTGCATTAACTATACAGTGCATGTAACTCCTCTGAGCAAAGTATACAGGGTGTGGCCCCATCCTGTGACTGCACAAGTGGTGTACATTTAGTAGTCTGACTGATGATAGGTCACGCGGGGCAACAGCTGTGTTGCTAGGCTGTGAAAGGCGAGCCAGTTTGTCTGCTTTCTTCCAGCCTTTGTGTGTCTCAGACATGATTTTTTAAGCTGGCTTTTGAGTTAAATTTAGCAAAAGTCATGTGCATCTACATACATAGGTGCAAAGATGTGCACCCACACTGAGTGGCTCCTCCGTGCCCCAAACAACTTGTAATGGGTACTAGACCAAGTTAAAGGTCAATTTGAAGGCAGACGAGTTTATCCTCCGGGCATGGAGTGAAATTCTAGTTACTTTGGCCCAATAGTCGCATGATGTTTGTTATTTGCATGAATAACCATGTACTGCCTGTGTGTAAGTGTCATATTGACACGAGACATATCTGTGAGTAAATATACTATTTATGTACGTCATTACAATACATAAACAGTTAATGCGCGTTTAATGCAATGCAGTCATGACTGTATTCTCGTATACGTACTAAAAACTTTGTAGTTTGTATGAACTATTTTTAGATTAGCAATATCGTATGAAGATGTACAGATGCCTATTATATAAGAAATCAAGATGGATAGATGTTTACACGTGTATACGTGTGCGTGCGTCCCAGCGTGCGTGCATGGTTGTGTGTGTGTGTGTGTGCGTGCGTGCGTGCGTGCGTGCGTGCGTGCGTGCGTGCGTGAGTGCGCGTGTGTGTGTGCACATGTATTTCTGCTATTGGGTAATCTAAACTATATGTGCATGGTTATTCATGTTGGACTCGGCAAGGAATTATTGACTGTATTAGTGTGTATATTACGCCTATATTATGTTACCACCACATTACCGTCTGTGCATATATTGCTTACTGTGTCCGGCTTGCACATCGGAATCAAGTTTTAATCAGAATTATGATCCCGTACATGACAACTTTGTTGATTTGTTCCGTTAATCAATAAGGTTGTCCTCGCTACAATTACGCGTTAGCTGCTGCTCCCGCTAGAACCCTCCCTACCCTCGCTGTAGCATCATCCCTGCCTGCACATGTAGATACATGTATGTGTCACGTACAGCACGCAGTACAGCGAGCTGGCATCTCGCTACCCCACAGCTGAGCTGACCTCTTCCAGGGTACACCCACCATACTGTACATGCGCGTGCTCATTTTTGGTTAGGAGAGGTTGGGAGGGAGTGTTTTGGGTGCCTGTGGAGAAATCCTAAATCAATAAAACGTTAGCCTAAACATTACGTGCCAAGCATGTATACCAGTGTGTCACTAAATGGTAATAGTAGTCCACATAACATCCCAAACGGGGAATGCCAGTAAGCAATGAATGCTTTCCCAACTAATCGATATGTGACTGGTCCAAATCCAGGGACTTGCAGTGTGTATGTATGTGTGACAGCATTATCCCGAGTAGTTTTGTACTAATTAACCCAAGATGAACATCGATTGATGATAAGTATTGTCATTAAGTAGTAAATATCGATTTACCTACACTTATAGTTGTGCGCATGTAGTCGATACTGAAGGCGATTTGAGGGTGCAATGTGGCAAACGTGTGTTGTAAAGCTGCACACAGTGCGCGGCCTGGGAACAGAGAGATTGCGAACATGTATGTAACTGGTAGTTGGGGAAAAGTTGATGGACGACTGCAGTTCATCAATCTACACTGCTGGGTGGACACACACACGCACACGCACACCTTCAATAACACACCTACTAGGCTTTCTTGTTTAGCTACCCTACTTCTGCCAGTGTGCAAGTAAATCTTTCTAGTATATTAGACCAATGTTACTTAGTACTATTCTGGTTGATGCGAACGGATAAAGTGTGATTTGTCAGCGCCATAGTTAGCTACTACCCTCATGTCCAGTCATTCAGGTATGCCTCCCTCCCCCCTTAGGGATTAGAACTATGAGGGTCAATGACTGGTCAATCAGGGAACCTGTGTCATTTGCCAGCACAATACTAATGTCTGTAGCCATTATTTTTCCTTGACTTGCCCATATCAGAATCGAAAGCAAGCATGATGTGACTATCTTAGGAGGACTCAACGAATTCGTGGTGAAATTCTTTGGGCCTTCCGGCAGTAAGTACATTATTTACACTACGGCTGCAAATATATGCATATCAGATATCATCGGTCAACCCCCCACCCCCAAACACATACACGTACTGGCTGCAGGCCAAAATTACATTGACCTCAGTTACTGCGATCACTCGCATGTTCTAAAAATGGCAATAGATGGAATCAAACTCTGTAAAGGATCCATCTACGTGAAGTTTGTAGTTATCATGTTTAAGATATTGAATTCAGATCGTCAAATTATAGTGAAGTAATGAGAACAATTTATATAATTTTGAGATTGGCAAGCATGAATGTTTGAGTTATTTGACTTGTACTGTAGTATGTTTATATATGGCTACTCTCTCTAATGTGTTTATTTTCCTCCACGCTTCAGCTCCATATGAGGGAGGTGTCTGGAAAGTTAGAGTAGACCTTCCAGAGAAATACCCCTTCAAATCACCTTCCATTGGTAAGCAGAATTTCTTAACTTTTGATACTTGGTCTTAGATCGACAAAGACTGATCAAGCAAATCTTGTCATCGAGTGAACTGTGTTTTCAGTGTCTAGTCGTCCTGCCTTGCAATACATCCAACTCCAGTTACATACGCACAGACATTTATGCACATGTATACAGACACGCATGCACGCACACACACAAAATGAATAATTATTACTGTTTACTAGCATTTTTATGCAAACACTCATTTAAAAGTGACATTATTAATGGTTCAAATACTTTTTGCATTGTTATATTCCATCAATAGATCAATCATTATGTTTGTGTATGTTTTAAAAGGACAAGTGGAGTAATGAGAGTGTGGTAGTATATAGCTTTCCAGGCTGGTGAACGATGTCTCGTTGCATTGTTTCAGCAACCTTGTAGTGTAAAGGTGTGCATATATATATAACATGTAACCAGCCTGTGTTAGCTGTATAAGGCAGTGATTGTTTGTGGGGGGGGGGTCGTTAAATGTAAAGTAAAACGGGGCTATGATGATCTTTCATGATTCTTACTCATGTGTTCATAATTTGTTTGTTTTTTCAGGATTCCTGAATAGGATATTCCATCCAAATATCGATGAAGTGTAAGTGTGACTTGTTTTGCTAGTTGTGCATCCAACAGACCCGTCGCCATTTGTATTATTTTCAGGCACATATATACTGATTTTATTGCACGTCAATTCTTTAGCAATCACCGTCTCTTTATTTCTGTGCATTTCGATAGACGATCGTGTTGATTATTTGTAAATTCTTTAGATGTTATTACAATTATTCGCACATACAGGTGGTTCTGTTTGTAAAACTACATATATAGCCATGCCTGTATCTGCACTGCCCTGGTAACAGCCAGCTCAAGTATTTGTAACAAAGAAAAAATAATTGTAAAAAGTCAACAATTAGAAAATAACCCTCAGAGACAGCTGCTAGTCCATAAAATTGGTTGCAAGAGATTATATTTCCCACCATTTCCAGTAATCTGTCCTCTTGTGTGGATTTCTTATATCGTTCTTGTTGAAGGTCGCTTGCTGTATTTCTATTTGTTGACGAATGCTGATGTGTTCATAAAATATTCACATCGATTTGCTGCGTAGGTAGAGTTGTATCTAGACAGTTCTCACTACGTTCGCTGCTTTGGAGCTTGCAGGGTCTGTGAGAGGTGCCGTCGTGCGATATCATTCATATATGGCGTGGTGTCTACCAACGAATGGCAACATACTTGCGCTGTTTCTATGATGGAATTGTGGACTTGATGTAATGGCCGCACTATTTTATTGTTAAATCCTCTGTGTGTTTGTGTCTGCAGCTCTGGGACAGTCTGCTTAGATGTCATAAACCAAGCCTGGACTGCTTTGTATGGTAAGAATTCCTAGGTCAACTCACACCTCCACTCTACACTGAGTCACGATCAACGACGTGTAACGTTTACGGCCGGTCAGCTTCGCACGTTAAACACGTTCGCGCTGCGAGCGAGGTTATAAAGATATCAGCACTCACGGCTGTTGCTCATGAAGCATGCAGACTCGACATTTACCAGTCGCGTGAGGTGTAGTACTCATGCAATGGTCATTAGCATTTGTATGATATTAATGAACGTGTCTCTCTGTGTGCATCTCTGCAGATCTCTCCAACATCTTCGAGTGTTTCTTACCCCAGTTGCTGACATATCCAAATCCAATAGACCCATTAAATGGCGATGCGGCAGGCATGTACCTACATAAACCAGAAGATTACAAGAAAAAAGTAAAAGGTACATGAGCCTGCCCACTACCCAGAAACTACACAGCATAGCAAATATTAGATTATTATTACTAAATTATTCTCTCGTTAGTTTCCAGTTATTTCGAGTAGGCCTCAGTTTTGCATAATCTAGTTAGAGTCTAGTAAAATCAAGAATCGGTATTCGCACGGCTCGCCGCCCGAGTCCGGTTAGCAATTGAGAATTTATTGGTGAACTATAGCCGATCGATACATGAACGCAGGTTGCTCGCACGGCACCAGCTTCACGGCTCGCTAGGCGTGCCTCTCTAGGGAAGGCAAGCAAGCGCCTCTCGCGTTTACTAACTCTCCTCCTTTCCCCCGCTCGCAGAATACGTGAACAAATATGCAACGGAGGAGGCGCTAAGAAACCATGAGGAGGTGTCGTCGTCGGAGAGCAGCATCAGCGACTTCAGCGAGGATGAGACGCAGGACATGGAGCTCTAACCCCGGTGCAGCGCCCGTGTACGCGGCGGCCATCTTGTAGATAGAGGACTGCGCTCTCCCGCGGGCGGGACTGGTAGCATCCGTGAGAAGGCGGTGGGTGCGACGCGTGCGACTCCCGGTGACGCGCCACGACGCGTGCGCGTGCACGAGAGAGAGAAAGAGAGAGAGAGAGAGAGAGCACAGAGCGTCTGCAGGCGGCAACGTTGCCGCGGCGACGTGCGGCTGGTGCCTTCGCCGTCGACCGCCACGCCGCGATTGCGACGACGAGGAGCGGAGTTTACGCGTCCAGATGCAGGCAGAGGCGGCGTCGCCATGGCGCTGACGTCATCGCCGATCGCACGCTCGCTGGCGCCACCTAGACAGTCTGTCATGTTCGTTGACAATGGAGGCGGCGAGATGTGTGTGACGCGGAGTGAGGGTTCCGTCACCTGCATGCGTGACACGCTGCACTGGCGCCACCTCGTGGTTACGCCGTAATTGCTGTAGCGGCTACGTGGTGGCAGCCCCTGTGTCTGTCATTACATGATTACACAAACCTTTGCAGTGCATTTCAAATTGTCTCAACTCCTAAATGCCATGTCACTACACATGTCACAGGTTTTGTGTGCTTGTATATATGCATATACATAATTATATATACAATACATGTATATATATATATATATATGTATGTGTGTATATATACATATATATGCATATGAATGTAGTTGGGCAATTATGCATGATTGAGTGTAGGCTAGGATGGCACCTTTGTGCACCCACATCCCAAACACAATGATGTGATCACTGCATTGTTACTAGACCTAAGCCAACCCATCCTAGACATGCAGCTGTGTCATACATTCACGGGGTGTCCATCTGCACACTGGCTCTCCAATGTGAGAGCGTATTATAGATGAGAATAGTGACCTTCTGTCACTGTAATTGGGTGTCCTCGGCTGTCAACACAACCGTGAACTGGAGGTGAGGTGCATGTGTGTCTGTATGCATGCTGCGTGTGGTTGGTGGTGGTGCTGCCGTGTATGCATGTGGTATGCACGTATGTGGGTGGGTGGATGCATGAGCTTGTATGGATGTTGACGTGTGGATGCGTGCGTGTGATTACATGTTTACAGTGTCTTGTAATGGATATGCTGCTCGAAAAAGCAGAGCCATGGAAACGGTGGATTGTAGCAGGCAAATTTTTTGTGAGATTATGAGATTCATAGCCACGAAATCGGGGATTTTTCTTGGCAAGGAAGTAGGGATTTGTCATGGCTGCATCGGTGAATGGTAGGAGTCACAACATTTCATGCAAACCAATCAAAGCGTGGCATTCCTTAATGCTCCATGCGTGATCCCATGTAACATGTCACCGTAGTGTGCGTGATTCCACGTAACATGTCACCATAGCATGCGTGATCCCATGTAACATGTCACCATAGCATGTGTGATTCCATGTAACATGTCACCATAGTGTGCGTGATTCCATGTAACATGTCACTGTAGTGTGCGTGATTCCATGTCACATGTCACCATAGCATGCGTGATCCCATGTAACATGTCACTGTAGTGTGCGTGATTCCATGTAACATGTCACTGTAGTGTGTGTGATTCCATGTAACTCTTTGCTTGTAAAGATTGGCACTATCGCGGGCACTCATTATTTGGGCAAACGCTGGACTCGCCCATGTGACAACTCTGAAGGCAAGCGTGTATTAGTGGGATCCATACTGCGCTACTTTTCTGTGGCTGTTAGTGTTGTTTGTAGGCGTGTGAGAGCATTTTTACTGGTGCACGTACGTATAGATTCGTACCGTCGAGTCGTCACCTTCATCCAAGGAGAGAGATGCTACCTTTCTGGCTTTGCACTGTTTAAAGAATTTCCCTAAAAGCGTTTTATGTTTTGTACATTTATTATATAATATAAAAAGTTTTTATTATGTGTTACCTAGCAGGATTTTTTTCTTTTGGGGCAGAAATTAGCTGCTAGCCAATAGTGTACATACAGGTGAGTGGAATATCCTTAATGTTCACTCACTACCGTGTTAGTGAATAGAGTGAACAACTTTACGTGTTTTGTTCACGCAGTAGCATGGAAAATTTTTATTCCTAGAATGGATTTTATCTGCGCATGCAGTATCAGTAAAGTTTTATGTCGGTGTGGTACATATGTGTATGTAGCTAGATTTAAAGGTAAACTGTTTTCACAGCAGAGTTATAATTTAAGTTATTCGATGTGTTTTTAGTATCGTGTTTTGTCTTGATAGTGAAGGCGTGCGAGGGAATGATGGTTAGCCCTCATTCTTGTTGTTCATAAGTCGCTGTTTTAACGACCACTTCGTGCATATTGCGTTGCTAGCAGGTTGCCTGATCAGTGGATGTGTTTGTTTGCGTGAGTCACCGTAATAAAACAAACCCCAAAACGTAAGTTCTCACGATGTAAGAAATGTAATAGTAATAAAGTAATGTTACTCGCATTTCACACCAAAATACAGTGCTTCTCTGGTTCGTGATGCAAGATGGACGAAACATTGCGTGAGGGGTGAAGTGAAGAGACACGTAGGCACACGAGTGAACGTGGCGTGGCCTGCGCTGTCAACATTAGTGCCGTCAGTTAGCTGCACATTAGGCAGGTATCTCTTGTGAGCATCACCGTCCATGACTCGTCCCTCACCGGGTGAGACAGGTTTTCCTACCTTTGTTATCACAGACGGTGTGAGTGCAGGGGAAACACCAGAATTGCAAACAAATACATCCGGGCAAGATAGACTACACGATGTTGGAAGTGAGAGGAGAGCTAGCACAGACTGTGAGTGTAGAGCCTGGTTAAGAGACACACGTCAGCAGCGTATGTGTATGAGGGGGGCTTCTTTATCGGTGAAGATTGTAAAAACAGATATGTTCAAGGCTTCGTTTGTTTCTGTGATGTTCAGTTGCTTTGTTTGTACAAAATATTACGTAATATTTTATGGTGTCAGCGACATGGGTAGCGTGCGTTGTTCTTTCGAATTCCTGATGACGATTCTTGGCAGCACGTGGTAACATTTCTTGCGCAGTAACAATTGTGTAAAACTCACAGCATCGATTCTAATCTTGTACTCGATGAAACTGTGAGCTGCCATATTTCCGAGGGAGTGTACGGTTTTACGCGGTCGCCCGGCCCTTCGCGAGGGCACGTGACACTGACTCATGAATGCTTACTGTGAACAGCCAGAGCTTACCATCCATAGAGCTGCACTAGAAATCGTCCAGTAATATCGTTGATTTTAGGCATTTTTATGTACCACATGTATATGACAGTGCATGTATGTGACCATTTACAGAATGGAATAAAGTTCAGTGCTGAATACCTAATCCTTACCTGTTGGGAGTCATTTTCATGCGACGTGACGTCCGTGGCATTTGTTCTCAAACTCGAGATATAAGCCATGAAGTGGTCACATAATTTTACGTGGGCAGGATTGCATTTTATTATAGCTGTAATCTGTAAACATACAGAAAACAAAACCAAAATCATGTTTCAGACAGTAACAACAACCTTTCTCATCAATCCTATGTGTGCCCAACACGTAGCTAGTCAACCGGGGGAACTAGACTACATTCTAAAACAAATCTTATTTACAAAACATTCCACCGCCGCACGATCACAAAGCGCTACGTATCGCACGGAAAACAATTCAAATCTCGCTAACAGTGCAGTGTTCATACGTATAGAAGTGCGTGCAGGCGTTTCACTTGTGTGTGGGTGCGTGAGTGCACAGGTCTGTGTGTGGGTGCGTGCTTGCACGGATGTTTGTGTGCGTGGGTGTGGTGTGCGAGCATGCATAAGTTTTTGCGTGTGTAATCAATGTATGTGCATACAGGCATTTCGCGTGCGTGGGGGGGGGGAATACCATTAAAATGTGAATGACCATGTACGTAATATTATCCAGTGTGTTGCCTAGACAAACACACACTGCCTATACACACTTCTATGCAACCTACAGCATGATGGCTAAGTATACTCGCACTGACAACGAGCGCACCTTAACTCTTCTCGCGAGGTGCAAGACAAAAGATGCAATTTTTTTCGATACTCTCATGTGTTACAAACACGACCCCACACACACCGTGCAAATCGTTTGTCTATCTGAGCAGCTTGTCTCCCGTCGCATGAGCAATCTCCTGAAGATGAGGAGCACAAGATTCGTAGACAGGCAATCGTGACATTGTCGTACCCGTACCATCGGCTCCAAGAACAAAGCAACGCGGGAGCCGCATGCCGGTGACTCCCACGCGACGCTTACAACACTCTGTGCTGCAGCAACACTTCTAGTGGCCTTCCCGTCTCAGGCAAGCGTCGACGCCTACGCGCATGTAAAACCTGCATTCGTAACGCATGTCGGAGAGCAACGAGCTGGCACGTGCGACCCCCACGCACGTCACCGCGCGCGCGCGCCGCCGCCACCGAGTCACACGGACGGCGCGGGACTTCCCGAGCAGACCTGCACCGGACGCTTGCTGTAGAACAGAAGGTAAGCGTTCTCCCTCACGAGCTTTGACTCGAGTTCGTCTGCCATGCTGACGGCAACCACTGCCTCGTCGTCGGTCCTGTACCAGACACCGTCCGCGAGGCTGTAGGCGATGTAGTGACCCGTGAAGGTGTTGCCAGTGCCGACGTGCACGCACACCGCGTACAGCTCGTACACATACACGTGTCCCGACGCGTCCGTCGTCGACCCATCGTCGTACACCAGGTTGTCGAAGATGACGGGCGCGAGGTCGAGCGTGAGCGGGACTCTGACGGGCGCGTGTATCTTGCGTGAGACTGCGAGCGACTGGTCGTACGTGAAGCGCAGCAGCTGCACGACAAGACACTTGGGAAGCTGCCGCAGCAGCGTCACCCGCTGTCCATGCGTCCGCCTCGAGCTGCCCGCCGCCGCCGCCTCCACGGGAGTCGACGTGCGAAACGTCGCGCCCGGGTCCGACGACGCGACGTCGCCAGGTGTCGCCGCTATCGGCGACCACGCCGCTGCGTCGGCGCTGGCAATACGCCGCATGTGCGTGATGATGTCGGGCGTTGCCGTGCGTAGCCCGGGCGATGAAAGCCGCGTGGGGGCGCCAGCGGTGCAGCAGCGCGGACACATGAGTCCGTTGCCGCCTTCCAGCTGCTCGACCTTCGAGTATTTCTCGAAGCAGTCCTCGAGTCGTACGGGCGCGCGCGCCGCCACCGCCGCGTCCTCCCCACGTGCGATCGGCACCGGCAGCAGACTGAACGTCTGCGTCGTCACGGAGACGCGGTTACAGGCGAGGCAGTGCTGGGCCTCGACGCACTGTCCCGTGAAGATGTCGTCGACGGGCGACTCGTTTCGCTCCTTGTAGCTCATCCACTCGAGGTCGGAGAGCCGCTGGAGAGGTTCGGCGAGCCGCCGTGGCTCCAGCCCGTGACTCAGCTCTATCTGCTGCTGGCACTCGTGTTTCAGGCCCTCTACGGCGTGCGGCGTCAGGTCGCCGTAGATGAACCTGAGGATGGCTAATGGGGAGCGTCGGTGCGCCTGCAGTGACTCATAGCTGCTGCCGCGCGGCGCGGGCGCGGCGGGGGAGGCGCGGCGGTTGAGCGCGGCGTGCAGCGCGTAGATGAGCCACATTGCGAACTCCGCCGCGTCCTGCTGCACCTGGTCCGCGCAGCGCGGAGAGATGAGCGCAGGGTTCATGCGAGACCCCGCCTCACAGAACGCCGCCGTGTCGAGACACGAGACCTCCTGCCGTCGAGACGCGCAGATCAGAGTCGCGAGCGAGTTGACGAGTTGTCGCTCGGCGTGCGACCGTCGCATGGTGGCGTCGTCGATGGCGGCGGCGGCGGAGATGGCGTCCGCGAGCTCCGGAGTGTGGCACAGGCACTGCAGGATGGAGTTGACGAAGCAGATGTTACGGCCATCGTTGACCATGCCCGGCGGTCGGTCTTGTCTCTGACCACGTCCGAGAAATGATAGCACCCTGTCCCTTAACCTCTGAGTAGACGGAGGAACCTTGCTGCCAACGATCTCAAACGGTCTGTCGCCCGCAGGGGGCGCCGGCGAAATGGTGGCGCCTCTGTTCCACGACGCCACGTAAGCGTCGCTCGTTCGCGCGTTTCCTACGCTGCTCTGCTGCGTACACACGACCGCCGCATTCCCCATCGACCCAGCCTCACGAAACTCCTGCAGGGTGGGCCTGCGCAGCTGAGGCTGGGGCCTCGCTCGCGTGACGCCTCCGCGCGCGCTTATGGCCTCCCCGCGTCCGTACGCCTCGGTCTGCGCGAACTCACGCCGCTCCGATGGCCGAGCATCGTACAGACTGCCTGCTGATGCGTTCCCTCGTGCAGACTGTGACTCATCGTTGCCGCGACCACGGTCCGTCCGCCACGGATTAACTTGTCTTTGTCGAGCGGAGAGTCCTGTCGGGTGCGTGGAATTTCTAAACGGATTGGAATAAAGGTTCACGGTCAATGAATGACGAGCGTGAGGCGGTGGGTCGTATATGTCGTCATCGCTGTCGTCGTCGTCGTCGTCGTCGTCATGCGCACGCGCCTCGTTCACGCGCGCGCCCTGGCGACACTCGTTTGTTGGTCCTTCCCCAAACTCTTGCTGCTTCGTGAGTGCCTTACGCCAGGCGAGGTTGTACAGCCAAATGCTAGTGGCACCAAACGAATCGATCGTCCACGTCAGTGTGAGCAGCGTAACACGACACGCGTGCCTGATGTACTTTGGCGCCTTTCGGTGAAAATTCGGGTCACAGCAAGACAGGAATGTGGCGCACGTGAGTACGATGAGGACGTACGGCGTATGGGCGACCGTGTAGATGGCAAGGCTGATGGACAGCAACAGCAGCGATTGATACATCCATATGGAACTGCGTTCGTACTCGTCCCTACACAAAAACATACCAAAATGACAATGAATTAGAACATGCTAGCTCAATAATTATTGCTATACGTTATCAGTCACAGTGGCGGATCTAGGATTTCAAGGAGAGGGTGGAAAACAAATGGAGGGTATGGCGGCCCTCCCCCAAGAATATTTTGAAAATGCAGATAGCAGGAGATGGTGTTTGAGGCAATTTTGAGTACATGTACAGCCTTTATTCCGACTACGACAATTCTCTTTTTAGTAGAACAATTCTTGGGCTTGGAGCGCGGCATTGATTGATATACAGGGGGGGGGGGCATTATTGAATATGTAGTGGGTGACCACCGCTGGGATGAGGGAGACAGCCAAAACTCTTTCTTGGAATTGTGAAAAAAAAGCTGCAAATGGGTTGTAACCTACTTTAAAACATTCAATTACATAATTTAACCCATGCATCCGTTTTGTACAGCTGTGCGACTATTATACTTGGCAATAATGAATTGGTATACAGGGTGCAAAATAAACGCGAGTCCGGAGTCAAATACAGTATACTCCCCGATTTTATGTCGGACTTCCTGATTTAACATATATGCAGGAGTCCGTGCAACTCCCTGAAAATTCTGCTATACTAACTACTTCGTTCCAGAGCATGGCCTCGCGGAATTGCCATATATATGTTTTCAGCAAATGTCCAAAGACAATTTGGCAGACGTGCAACCGCATGAATAATCAAAATAAGCACATGCGTTATTGTTAATATCTTTAGTTTTAAACTTCAGACTGCGGACTCCCTCATTTTGCTGCGGACTCCCTCTTTTTGAGGGCAGGGAGTCCGTTGGACTCCCTTGTTCAAAAGTTCATTTCTACCCCTGGGTATATGTGTAAAAATGTTGTTAGTCCAACAGAGGGGCTAGCCACCCAATCCACCCCCCCCCCCACCTGAATGAAGCACCAAAACTATGGAATGAACTCCCATCCACACTCCGCAATATTCAAACATTCAGTACTTTCAAAACGAGCATTAAGACCCATCTCTTTAAATTAGCCTTCAATGTATAGGATTTTATCTCGGATATTAGCGATGTATAGATTTAGATTTTAGAGAAATGATTTCATATAGCCTATAGGTTTTTAGTATTACATAGCCAACTTTATTTTTAATGTCATTTTACCTCATAGTAGGCTGAGAGGGTCTATGTCCCCCAGGGTACTGCCAGAAAGTACCCTGGTACCATCTGGAGCATATAAATCAACGTGATTTATATGCTCTGCTGGTACTATCCAGGGTTCTCCCCAGGATGAAATTCAAACAGGGGGGAGGGGAGGGGAGGGCAGGGTTCTCCCCAGGATGAAATTCAAACAGGGGGGAGGGTACTCAACCTTCCTGAGCTGTGACGCAGGGCTCGTGTACGTTCACTTGTCGCTGTTGCCGACACTGGCCGTACGCGTCGGTCAGAAGGTGTGCTTCAACGCGAAACTGGGTAAACCCGGTGTGGCTGCGAAGTGGGTCGCGGTGAGGGCCTGGTTACCAGAAGACACAGAGGAACAGGAAGATACGGAGGAGCAGGAAGACACGGAGAAGCAGGAGGACGAGGAGTTAACACAGGATTGGCTGGACGAGATCAACAATGAACTAGAATTTGACAATGCCGATCAGTGTGACGGGGAGGAAGAGGAGGAGGTAGAGGCAGAGGCTGAGGAGGAGGTAGAGGCTGAGGAGGAGGTAGAGGCTGAGGAGGAGGTAGAGGCTGAGGAGGAGGTAGAGGCTGAGGAAGAGAAGGAGGAGGAGGAGGCTGAGCCTGGATTCTCGTCCTGCAGTAACACGGGCGCCACGTCAAGTGAGAAACTCCCGCTGGCAGATAGCCTAGTTGATAGCCTAGTTGACCTGAGTTTTACTAATGATGGCGATCCACAACAACAAGCTCAGTTTGTTCCTGTCGACACAACGAACCGTCCTGAAGAGAATACGAACGGTCCCACGCCGCACTCTATCCGTCAGCAGATTGTCCCGGACAGTCTCACGCCTCATTTAATCCAGCAGAATAATGTCGGAAAAGGTATCACGCCTCACTTCGTCCTTCAGCGTGACGTCCCTGAGTCTCTGATCAACGCTGCCGCAGTGTTGAGACAGGTACCGGTGCAATCGTGCGCCGGCGCAGCGGACGGTGCGTCCGACCAGGACGTGCGTGACATCATGGCGGCCCGGCGAGAGCTGGACAGGTGCCTGCGTGCGTTGGACGACGCCATGACGATGATGCAGACGGAGAGCGGAGCGGGTGTTCCTGCAGCCGGCGGCAGCGGCGATGACGGTGAAGGAGAGCAGGTGCTAAGCAACCAGCACGGACATCTGAAGCGGGTGCTCGACTCTTTTGGTTTTATCAGCTACGGTTCGTCACTGGTCTACTTCAACAAGGAGAGTCTGCATCCACGAGCGAACTGCGACACGCTGTGGCACCATCTCACCAACAATGAGATCCTCTACTTCGATGCCAAGCTGGCACCACCAGGTAGCGCCACGCGCTGGATTATAGCGACCAGGGTATGGCGTCAGGATGCCGGCGTCACGCCTGTGGGCGATGTTTGTGTCGGCGAGTTTAATACTCACGAACAGGTAGATTGTAAAGTCGGGGGTCGTCCCATGAGGGATGCTGAGCTGTCTGGCAGTAGGGACACATGCGTGCTACATCCCTCGTGTGTGTCAGCTAGCGCAAAGCAGATGGAAAGCACTGCTAGTCAGACTATGTCTACCGGAGATATTCATTATTTAAAGGTTTACCTAGAAGAGCCCAGCAACGTGCCGTGATGCTGTGATTGGTCGCGTCCTTTTTAAGGGGCGGGGTTACACATGAAGTACAGTATTATCCTGTGATTCCTGGAGCAAGTGATGCAAATGTAGTTTTTGAAAAGGTGTTTATTTTGCATACATGTGCAGGTGTTTTGTTTTTCTGTTTATCTGCTGTTGCGACGTGTACTTTGCTCATCGTGCGCACACTAACAAGCATCAGGTGTTAAATCCCTGCACTTGTGTGTGCTCAAACATTTTATTTTATCTGCCCGTTTGCGTATTCCGACTTGGATATATTGTAATATGTAATTTGAGTAGTTTGTGATTTTAGTGGTGGGCATTTATGCATTATAGCAGATCGCTGTTAGTTATAGGTAGTTACAGTCTCACTCTCAAACAGCAGAGTCGATATATTCTCTTTGATTTATCTTTCCGTGTGTTTGCCGTGGTGCTTTTATATTGTATGCTATATATTGTATACTATATATTGTATGCTATATATTGTATGCTGTATATTATATACTATATATTGTATGCTGTATATTATATACTATATCAGGAGTAGAAATTAACTTGTGAACAAAGGAGTCCAACGGACTCCCTGCCCTCAAAAAGAAGGAGTCCGCAGCAAAATGAGGGAGTCCGCAGTCTGAAGTTTAAAACTAAAGATATTAACAATAACGCATGTGCTTACTTTGAAGGTTCATGAGGTTGCACGTCTGCCAAATTTTCTTTGGGCATTTTAATAGCGAAACATTCCGCGAGGCCGTGCTCTGGATCGAACTTAGTTAGTATAGCAGAATTTTAAGGGAGTCACGCGGACTCCTGCATATGTCAAATCAGGGAGTCCGACAGTAAATCAGGGAGTATTTGACTCCGGACTCCCGTTAATTTCGCACCCTGCTATATATTGTATGCTGTATTGTATGCTGTATATTATATACTATATATTGTATGCTGTATATTATATACTATATATATTGTATGCTGTATATTATATACTATATATATTGTATGCTGTATAGTATGCT